CACCAATTTCCCACTACTTGAATATAGCAGATATGCAACTGGGTGAGGTCACCTCTCACCATTATTTCTCTCCCTTTCACCTTGGAATGTATAGGTGGATACCATGGCTCTAAAGTGTTCAATAAAGGACTAACAATGATAGCAGTGTAAGTTGTTGGAGAGTCCACTATGATGAAGTTGGTGATTGCAATATATTAGCGAACACCCTCACCTTAAGTGATAGGAAGGGAAACTATCATTTAGTCTCCTTGCTCTCACTAGAAAATCCATAGAGTGGCCCCTACAGTAGGGGTGAGCTGGGAAGTGAGCTATTTCATGACTAATAACCACAACATTATTCTGCATGTCCCCTCCGACAAGCTTGATGACTTCATTGAAAGTAACAAGGGTGATGTCCACAACTTGAGCTTGTAAGGTGGACACCAAGTTCACTTATATGATCATATCTCTCTTTGCACTTACTAGTGGCACCTCTCTCTTGCCTCCCATGATGGAGAGCACTACTCCAATCATTTGCATGGTATGAATATGCTTGTTTCCATTGCTTTCAACTAAGGCTTCCACTAGGTATTGATCTAAGTAGACAAGTATGAATGCCTTCAACTTTCTTACTTGATGACATATTCAACAAGACCATGCAAGTGATGAAACTCCTCCATATTATAGCCATCCTCCTTATTTAAGGCACCATATCTGAAAGTGTCCCTAGCATTAGGTATCGCCTTCAAACATACTCGGTGCTGAAGAATTCCTTATTTTAAATGGCCTTAAGAAACTCAAACATGGATACTTGCACTAGAGTGTAGGTTGGGTAGGTTAGAAAATGTTGTGTGGACTCTTTTAGATATGAGAAATCAGCATAAAATGGCTCATCCACTGCTTGAGGTTCTGCAACCTAGCTTGCAAGGGTACCTTTAGTCTTCAAGACAACGTCGATCTCAGGAAAGATTTGATCTCTTATCATTCCTATCCCTAGGATAAGCTTTATCTGTCGTATCCTCGTTGCTACTCTCTTTTGATGGCTAATTCATAAGGGTGAATGGCTAAGGTGGACTCGATCACTTTGTTGTACTCTTTAACATTCACATGGCTGCTGCCTAGCTCTAACAACCTTTATGAGTGTCATAAACTACTGCAAGCCGAGCACATATTTAAATGGACCCTCCCTTAATACTTGGGTCAATGTGGCCTAGGAACCTATTGGATTTAGGTCCTTTAAGTCTAACATTTCGTTCTAAAACCTCACTATGAAACTCCTCAATGACTCCCTAAATTTAGGCCTCATCTTCAATAGATCTTGCAAGCTCTTTTCAGATAATGGTCACTAGCGAGCTGAATCATAATCATTTTAATTTAAGGAAAAGAGACCACTCCCAAAAATAGGCAAGTAAATCACCTAAGAAATCATAAAGAACATGTGATATTTAAGGGCATCATTTATGTACATAAGAGAATTCATCAATTCATATGTAGCCACATGGTCATGTGGATCAACTTGCTGTATTATGACTCTATTTGTAGCATTCTAAACCTGGGAGGCAAACTAGCCATGGAAATTGCCCTAACAAAGGCTTTGGTAACTCACCTAGTCGGTGGACTGCATCCTTCGTCACTCAGCAATATGAGGGTAATTAGAAATTGGTGTTGAGATTAGCATTTTATCTTTTGGCTGACTACAACAAACTACTGAGTCAAGGCTACCCACCTTTCCTCCATTTCCTATAGGTTTCATTTAGTGGTGTAGCCATCATTCTCCATACTTACAGAAGACTCGTGCTGAATTCGCTTATATAGTATGGCTTATTTTCTTACCAATTGTATCAATTCACACTCACCGCACCTGAGAAGATGTTAAATCCAAATTTATCTATGAATGACACCCAACTCTACTAGCAAGCCTATTTTATGAGCTGATGAGTTGAACTTCTGAGAATGAAGAGCATGAGGTGAGTAGAGAATGCAACAAAATACTCAACAAAGCTATAGATAAAAAAATGATAGAATATTCTTTTTTTTTTTTTTTTTTTTTAAGAGAGAGGGATTGTTTAGCAGAAAAGAGAGAAGGGATGGAAAAGGGGAGTTCCATCGAGTGGGGAGGCTTTCCCTATCTGTGTTTATGTCTTCTATACTGTTTTGGAATTGCAAGGGGGGCTAGAAAGAAGGAGGCCACCTTGTATTTGAAGGAGTTGATTAATGAGATCATGATGTTTGCTTTGTTGGTCCTCTTAGAGACTAAGATTGACTCATATTGGAAGGAGGAGTTGATTATCTCATTGGGCATAGTTGGGAATTTTTTCCAAGTTCCAGGCAGTTGGTTTATCTGGTGGAATGGTGGTCTTTGGGACACTAGAAGTGTTTCCCTTTTATGGTTAGAATAATTCTTCACAAAGCTTCTTGGGTGATTTGTTGATTCCTAAGATGGTCTTGGAAGATTGCAACGGTTTATGGGAGTGTTGTCTGCAAGAAAGAATGCTCTTGGAAACGAACTTGAAGAAGGGTTGAAGGCGCCTTTTCATCTATTATTGGTGGGGAATTTAATTGCATCTTGAACAAGGAGGAGAAGAGAGGTGGGAAGAGATTTATTTTCTCTAAAGGCCTAGGGAAATGAAGAACTTTTATGACAAATACATTTCAGATTTTCATGATATTAGAAGCATTGGTCCAAATTCACTTGGTGTAACACAAGAAGGAACTTTCTAGAATTTGGGAGAGGTTGGATAGATGCTGTTGAACTCCATTGCTCTCAACATGTCCCGACAGCTATGACTATGGCATTTAGCAAGAGTGGCTTCAGACCATTGTCCAATTGCTATTAAATTGGATAGGCAAGATTCAAATTAATAGAAACAATATCAAGTTTGAAGACACTTGGAGATCCTATCCTGCAAGCTAGAACTATTGTTTATCATTCTGATTAAGAATGACTATTGGGGAGCATTGTGAAATTCCATCAAAGGAAAACATATAACTTTGAAGGCTTTGTTCTTTTGGGCAATGTAAGTGAAAAAACTTGAAGACCCTAAGGAGGACTTGAAGAAGAATCATTGAACTTCAAAAGAAAGAAATGGATGGAGTGAATTGGACAAGGAAGATCTTACTTTGCTTAAAGTAAGGTGCATGAGCTAAATATCACTTTGAACCATTGGCTACTTGTGATCAATAAGGGTAAGGCTAGATGGCAATGAAGAAGGTGACAACAACTCCAAAGATGTTCCACAATTTTGCTTCGGCTAGAAAGAAATGGCAATAGAGTGGTAAGTTAGAGATATGATAATGTAATTCATGTTGAAGAGGAGAAATTGAGAATGGTTTTCACTCATTTCTTGAATCTAAGTGGAGGAATAAGAGAGTGTGAGCTAAATGATGGCCCAACATTTCGGAAAACGAAAACTAAACCAACAGGCGGGATGACTTTGCTTGGACTTCTCATTGGCTGAAATGAAACTCTCGGTTTTTCAACAAGAAACAATGAGCTCCAGTATGGATGGTGGACATCTTCTTTTATAAATGCTATTCGGGATATTATTTGGAGTTTCTATGGAATGCTATTAGTAGCTTCTTCAAGTCTGGTCATATGTATAAGTCTTGGAAGGACACCCTTATTGTTTTGATTGCCAAATCAAAGATCCATTAACTCCATCCAACTACAGGCCGATTAGTTTTGGTCAAATTAATTACAAAATTGCAGCTACTATGTTGGTTAATAGATTGAAGAAATGCATTTCTAATATGATCTCTGAAGAACAGATGGCCTTTATCCTGTAGATCCATTTCTGAACATTGCTGGTGCTCAAGGAATTATTCATAAATTTAAATTCTCAAACAGAAAGGTTTGATGGCATTAAAGCTTGACAATGGAACAAAGCTTATGACAGTATGGTTGCAAGCATTGGAGCAGATTCTTGAATGGTAGATTCCCTCATATGTTTTCTATCTGCTTGTGGATTGTGTTGTAGGTGTGAGATTTTTCCATTATGATTAATGAAGAAACTCTGACTGATTGATGCTCATAGTTGGTTTTCGACAAGGATTCCACTCTCTCTTATCTCTTCATTATGTGCTTCCAATTTTTTTTCTACTCTATTGAGAGAGGGACATGATCTTGGTATAGGGTTTCTCCCCTAAGGCCCTAGATCACTCATCTTCTTTATGCAGATGATGGTTGCTTATTTTTGGCACATGTTTCTATTTCTCTTGCCAAATCTTGAAGAAGATTGTTGAAGACTTTTGTAATGGGACGGGCCAAAGAATCAATGCTAACAAATCCTCAGATTTTATTTGGGAAAACTGTTGGTACACAATTAAGAAGAAAGTGCCAGATTTTTGGTTACAAGTGTGAAGGAGATGAGCTACCTTGGGATCAAATTATCTTAAGTAGATTGAAGATGGCAATTTTCAGACATGGCTTGGCAATGTTATGGATAGATTAAATGCTTGGAGCAAAAAATTTATCTTTGGGGGGTAAAATCACTCTATCTCTAGTTCTCTTTAACTATGCCAAACTTTCTAGCTACCCACTCTCTAATTCCTAAGAAGATGTTGTATGAGGTGGAGAAACTTTGTAGAAAGTTTCTTTGGCATAAATCGGATGGAGATCATAGTCTTCATTATGTGGCTTGGGAAGAATTATGCAAACCAAGGTGTTTGGGTGGTTTGGGTCTTCATTCTCTTTAATGCGTGTTAGCTCTTTGAGATCCAAGTTAGCTTGGGTTTTTTATCAAAAAGAGGACTCTCTTTGCTATAAAGTTATAAAGCAAAATATGGAGATGATTTGAGGATTGGAACTCATAAGAATGTGTTCCTCAAATGCTTGGAAAATTCTTGTTGATGGGGTAAACAGCTAAAGAACATTACCAGGTGGAATGTGGGTAATGGTGATAAAATTAATGTGCTTAATGAACACTTGGTGTTGACAAGTGTATTAACAAATGGCCAACTATGGTTAACTGTGATGCTTTGGCGGGTTTAAATATAAGCCATTTGTTAACTAATGATGGACAATGGACTACAACCTGCTCAAGGAGGTCTTTCATCCAGATTTCATCTCCATGATACAATATCCAGATTTCGCCTGGATTGGAGGATCGGAGAGAGCTGCTGTCTTTGCTGTCGGTAAGACAATTTCAGCCTTGTCTTTGACAACATCTTGAAGTGCAATTACAATTTTGAATGCGAAGACTATTTTTATTGGTTATTTAAACTAAAACTCAACAAGAAGGTTGAGATTTTCTGGTGGAGATTAGGGAAGGCTGCTATTCCTACAATGATTTTTCTGCATTAACGAAAACTGGTGCTGGATAAAAACTGTGTTAGGGGCTATAATTGTAGTGAATTATGAGCACATCATGGTAACTTGTAAGTATTTGATTGATGTTATCAAACAAATACAATTGTGGGGTATAGTATCCCTGTTTTCCAAGATTTGAAAGCTGTTTAAAGGAGCTGAGAAGGCTATATGTCCGAAATTCTGGAGTTGTTAAACTGTACTGGCATTGCTGTGTATCTTTCATGGAGTAATAGAATCATGTGAAGCATGGGAAATTCTGCTTTGCGCATCTTCTGTTACAGCTGCTAACACATTGGCATTGGCTAGTATAAAGGTAGTCCATATCTCTCACCTGGGAACCAATCTCCTTAGGGAGTCTTGTGATCTTGGTGCCCTCCTCCGAAGAATGGATGAAAATAAATGTTGATGCTTCTTTGGCTAGATCCAACTGTGCTGGAGTGGTGGGATTTTCAGAGATCACAAAGGAAGGTTTATCCTTGCTTTTGGAGAAAAGAAGACTCATTGGGATATAACCAAACTAGAGATGGATGCTGTTTTTCTCGGTCAAGGACTACATTAGAAGTTGGATGCTAGAATACAAAGGCTTGATTGTTGAGAGTGATAATCTCAATGTCATTAGATTCATTCAAGATTCTTTCAAGATGAAAAAGCAAATTGTGGATAATCGGCATTGGAGAGATGCTCTTCTTTAATGACTTTCATAAAGTGGTTTTTAGTCATGTTCATAGAAATTGTAATAAAGGTGGCTAATATTTGTGCTACCATGGCTAGTAATGGAGTTTTTTTCTTTGATAGTTCTTCTTTTAATAGCATCCCTTCCTTGCTTTTATTTGCTATCAAGAAGAATGTGATGCATTCATTCCTTTCAATTGTAATTAGCTTTGCTTTTGCCTATTAATGCAATGTTTGCAATTTAATC